TAATTTAGCGATACTCTGTCTAAGCCCTTTGACCACCAGTTTACTATCAGCAAAACCGGGCCAATAAAATCTACCTCGTAGAGGCCTTGTGTGGGGTGAGAGTTCGTGTGAAAGCACTTGGAACATTTTCTGGCACAGAGTAGGAAGAAGCTCAGCAAGTGTCAGTTAATATATTACTACTTTCATCATGTAAGGGAAATGCACACACTTCTGCACAATAGATCATTTTTGTGGAAACTTGAACAAGATCAAAACAATAGCACTTAAAATATCTTTGCTCAATTTGAAAACATGTCTGTCTTTAAAAGTTACTTATTAACTAATCTCAGAAACAACTTTTACTTACGCGTTTTGTCATTTACCTTGTAAGTCAAGTCTTACGGAAGAGTGATTCACCCTTATTCAAGGTGAGTGTCTTACTGGGACATTCAAAACTCCCGTTAGTGGCAGGAGATCTTTTGGAACCTTACAGTTTAACTTGTTTGTGCTGCCGCTGTCAGTTTCTGATTAGCTCAGCCTCGCCCATGTTTTGACCTATAGGGTTGCTTTACAAGCTGTTCCCAGGATGGCTAAATTAGAAAAGTCACGAGTAGGAGCTTCTCGGTTACTTCTATTCACTGGTGAGGTGAAGTGGGAATGTGGGTGATAGCTCAGAGTGTTTTATGACTGACAGTGTGACACAGAATTTTGGTTAAATGTTTTACAATTTTTATTAAAAGTAGAGTTTTACTAATATATGACTTTAAAAACATGTAGGTCAGGTCTGTGCTGCAGTGTTGGTATATAAAGCACATATAATTATTTATTAAAACAACATTCTAACATGGAAATCAAATTTTTGTTAGAATTCATAATTTACAGTGTAGTTTTCCAAAATGAGTAACTTTAGGTTATTCTACCTAGATTGCTTAAATGAGGGAATTTAATAATATTCCTTTTAATCTTGGTCCATGAGGTGATAAATGAATTATCATTCAGGGTATATTCATTGATGGTTTCAGACACATTTTAAGTCCATTCTTAAAAATATTTTTTGTTTTGTTTGGGATCATAAGAGTTTTATGGTTTAGTATAATGTTTAAGCCAAGTATTTATGGACCAGAATTACTTAAATTAGTAGTGAATAGAATAACTTGAATATTTTTCGCATCTCTTGTAATTGGTTAATATTTACTTAAAATTAACTTATCCCCTTTTGCCAAGTTTTTATTATGGTTAACTAATACAGACCTACCATTTTAATATCTAAATTAGTACCTCTATAAATAAGTCTAAAGTGATTATCTTAAAGTAAATTTAGTATGCCATAGTCGTAATCTAGATAATGTTCATTACTCAGTTTTGACTTATACTATCTTATTTAACAGAGTTGATATTAGTCTCAGTCTTTAATATGTGAAGTAATAAATGAGATTTTACCTTCCTAATTAGTGGCTGTTTTAGTAAATGTCCTTCCTACGTTAAAAAAAATCATGATGCCACCCACAAGTTATTATTGGATGCTGGCAGATTGATAGGTAGTTACCAAACAGAGTATGATATAATGGTATCTGTAGTCCCATTAATAGGATTTAGCTGATAGAAATAGAAATATTTATTTCCACGTGTGTACTTTCCAGGCTGCCAGGTTTTTCCTTAACATGGTAGTATTAAGGGGAGACCTGTAATATGATGTGGTAGATATCTTTGGGGTGGAGGTTGGAACAGCAGGTGTGAGTGGTGGCTTTCTGTACCAAGTGATCTTAGTGGCTGTCTGCTCCAGAATGAGCGTGAAACAATTCAGGAGGCTTCCTGAGGAATTCTGTCGGGGAAGACACTTGTAAACATGATGCTGCCAGGAGTATGTTATTGAGATGATGCTTTTCTTTGTAGTTTTCTTTATAATAGAATATTTTACCTTTTAAATTTTAACTTGATTTATTTTATGAATATATAATAACTATACATGCTATAGGATCAAATATATATCGGGAAAATCCTCCTCCTACCCTGTGTCCTTCTCCCTCCCTGGAGGCAGCCATTGTTGATAATTAGAATTTTATTTTTGTTTGGAACTTTGTTTTTACATTTCATGAATGGTTATTTTTGGGCTTTGTTTTTTTAAGGATACATTAAGTCATATAAGAGTTTAACTGATATCTTTCTTTTAAATTTTAAGCATTAAAAAGATTATGATTTAGGAGTTGTTTTGCATACTAAATCCAAATGAGGGCTTTAAATAAAGTAAATTTTTTTTGTAATGTGTAAAAATGTGATCTTGCTGCTTTAATGTGTATTTCTTTTGTTAATGAAGTCGAACATTTTTTGTTTATTGCTTTATTATTTCTTGTGAATAATGTTTATGTTCTACCTGTACTTTACACTATTCATCATTTTATAATTAATTTGTGAGTCATGTCTTTTTCCTTTCATTTTTAGGTATAGTAGGGAAAAATTAGCCCTTTGTTGTATCTTGTTGAACTCATTTTTTCTTGGTTTGAGGTTTGTCTTTTACTTTTATTTATGATACACTTTACCATATATAATTTAACTTTTAAGTGGCCGAAGTGATTCATTTTCATGACTTGGTTTTTATAGAGCAGTTAGGCCTTTCCTATTTAAGATTTTTTTAATGTGGTCATGTTTTCTTCTAATATTTTTGTGCTTTAATTTTTTAGAATTAAATTTTTGTTCCATGCATAATTTATTTTAGTTGGAAGGTAATAACATAGCTTTACGTTTTTCCAGGTAGCAACCTCTTAATAAAACATTTTTTATTCTATATTTTATAGAAAAATCCATATTTTTCCCACAGGTTTTAAATTCTATACTTATATACAGAATTACTGTACATTCTTGGATTTGATTCTAAGTTTTCTAATGGCTGTTTTGTCTACTTCTTTGTAGTGTCCGCACTACTTTATTAATAACTTGTGGCACTAGTTCTGTTTTTTGCTACTTATTAAGAATTTGTTTACCTGTTTGTTTAATATTGTTGATCACTTTCGATGTGCTGGGCACTGTTCTAAATGTTGGAATTTATTCTGGATCTGGGGATACAGTAGTGAACAAAGTCTCTGCCTTCACATAACTTAGATTCTAAAAGGAGGTTTGGTTTTTTATCTTCTAGGTTTTTAATGTGTTTATATTGGTTCTGATATTCATTAATTCATTCATTGACTTATAAATTATTCATTAATTTATTTGTAATAAATGCATTTAATCATTTATTTACTAAATATTTAGCGTCTACTAAATAATAGCTACTGTTTGGGGGACCAGGGGTACAGTGGGGAATAAGACAGACACAGTTTATGCTCTCGTGAGGCTTTTATTTTAGTTCAAGCAAAGTGACATCAGCTACGTGATCTCAAAGCTTGAAGGCAGAGAGCTGTGGAAGAGGGCGACTTTCAGGTGACTTCAGATTTGATAGTCTGAAGACTGTCTCTCTGAAGAGATGACATTTCATCTAGAGCCTGCGAGATCAGAATGGAACAGCGATACAGTGATAGTGGACCGGGCAACATCAAGTGTAAAGGCCGAACATTAGGCGAGGTTGAAGGAGATGAAGGCCAGCGTGGTTGGGTCGTAGAGGTGAGAAGGTGAGAGGTCAGCAGATCACGGAGGCCTTTGGAATTCAGAGGTTGGCATTTGGACTTGATTCCAAGTGTAGCGGGAGCCATTGGAGGATTTTTAGCAGTAGTTGAAATGTTCACTCTTGCTTCTATGTAAAGAGTGGACTGAGGGCCCAGAGGTGCATCAGGGAAACCAGTCAGCAGCCCATGGCAGGAGGCCAGGTGACAGGTGCTGTTGCCTGAGACAGAATGCAGAAGTGAAGATAGAGGAAAAGCGATGGATGCGAAAGTAGAGTTGGCAAAACTTGCTGAGGGGGCTTTAGCTTTGATAAAATTTTTTTTGTTTTAATAATTATATTTTAAATTTGCATTATCTGTTTTTTTATAAAAGCTTTATTGAAATATAATTCATATACCATAGAATTCACCTATCTAGTGCACAATTGAATGATTTTGAGTATTTTCATAGTTGTGCAATCATTAGCACAATTAATTTGAGAACATTTTCATCACCTCACATGGAAACCCTCTACCCATTAGCATTCACTCCCCATTTCCTGCCAACCGTCCCAACTCTGGGCAGCCACCAGTCTAACCTTCTGTCTCTGTGGATTAGCCTGTTTCGGACGTTTCTTATAAAAGGCACCATAGACTTGATAGTACTTTGTGACTGGCTCCTTTCACTCAACACACTGTTCTCAAGGTTCATCCACGTTTGTAGCATTTATTGGTACTTCATTCCTTTTTATTTCTGAATATTACGCCATTGTATGGCTGTACCACATTTTATCCATTCATTAGTTGATGGGCATCTGGGTTATTTCCAGTTTTAGGCTGGATAAAGCTGGATAATAATGTTGCAAGATACATTTTTATATCTGCTTATTTTTAAACACAATATATTTTAAAATATGCTCTCTTTCAGTGGTACCCTTTTTTAAAAAAATTCATTGCCTTCTCTTTGAGTACACTACTTTTTTTTTCTACTTTCTAGCCTCTGAGCCATTTGATTTTTTATTTCATTTGTTTCTAGCTAATGGGTTTCTTCAGATGTCGGATGATGTTGCTTATCTGCTTATTCGTTTATGTTTATAGGAAGGGAATGGTAAAGCCGTTGAACCATATCTCTTCTTCAGTTCTGTTTACCTCTGCAGAAGGTCCGTCCCCAAGTGGGCTTGTCTGACATATTTCAACATTGAACTTGTACTTATGGCATGTTCCTCACCGTGTATCCACTTTTGTGGTAGAGCTCAACCATACTGTATTATTATAATTATTTGTCTTCCTCACAGCTGTAGATTTTCAGAGCAGATGCTGTATCTAATTCCTTTTTGTATATCCAACTTTTCTTGCATTGTGCTTCACAAATCGTAAATAATACATATTTGTTGAATTGTATATCATATTTAATTTTTATGTGTTAAAATGTGTGTGTTTTTTTTCTAGAGGCGTGGAGCTATTTCCTATGACAGTTCTGATCAGACTGCATTGTACATTCGTATGCTAGGTAAGCATTTTTTTGTACCAATATCAGTTAATTTTGTTATCTACTGTTATTTGAAATTGAGATATCTTTCATTAGTTTTTTATCACTGTTTTCAGCAGAAACAGTCTATTACTTTGAAGGTCAGAGGCTAGAAACCAGTATTGAATCTGGTGTGAATAAAGAGAGGCACTTTAGAGTTATAGGTAATTGAAAAATCTGTGACTTAATAACTAGGACTCTGTCACAGCTTTAAATTGCCCCCTGAGTGTTCATTCTTAACAAGAGTCTTGGATTTGTAGCGCTGTTAAATACTAAACAGATGCCCGTGCTAACAGAGATAAAGATGAGGCTATGAAATGCCTGATCAGGTGGTCCCGTCACCGGATGTGTTTTGTTCTCAGCTGGCTGGTGAGGAAGTTTTTTTTTCTCAGTTCTTAAATTTTTAATGTATTACTCAGTCCACAAGGTAAAGTGGATTTAGATGTGTATATATGTGTAACTTCCTCCCTCCCTTTGCCAGATTTGTCTCTCTCTCCACACACTTCTTGATCCCTTGTACTTTATTTCATACTATTCAAAAAGATTCCAATAGGCAAATTTTCTCACCTTTTCTTAGAGGCGTCTTTCATGACTGCTCTCATCCACAGAATTCCTCCCTCAATTCTGTGATATTGAGCCATCCTTATCCTTTACTTGCTTCTGGTTTTGTTTTGTTTTTTATGCCTCTCTCCCTAATTTCTTTTCATACTCTTAAGCCTGCGTTCTCCAGTATCCTGTTCTTGCTCTTCGTCCTTTCTTTCCCTCTTTAACTTACCTCGTGTATCTTACCTGTCTCAGTATCATTCTACTCTAGTACACATTTTCCCCCACAGCCGTTCAGCCCTTACCTCTTTACTGTCTCCAGCTCTCTCTGCAAACACGTTCAGGATTCAGCTCTCCTTAAAACAGAGCTTTAGACTCATATTTTTTAATTCTGTAGGACATCTTCACATGGTGTATTGTAGACACTTCACATTCAAACATGTCTGTTAAACAAAAGATTTGTGTTCTCAAGGCTGTTCATTTTGTGGTCTTGCCACCCCAGAACATGTAACTCCATTCTTCTGGTTATCGGGTCCGGAACCTTGGAGTCGTTCTTGACCTGTATTTCTTACGTACTCGATATCTGCTTCAGCTGCAGATCTTTTTGGCTGATACCTTCAAAATATATTCAGAATTCTACCACCCCAGTGCTATTATCATCCCATGTAAGCCATAGTTATTATTTTTTATTGTTAACTGTAGTCACATTGTTGTACACTGGAGGGCCAGGCGTAGCCGCCATAACTGAAACTTCATAGTCTTTGACCAACATCTCCCCACGCCCCCCTCCCCACAAGCCAGAGTTGTTGTTGCCTCGTGTATTGCACTTGCTCTTCAACTGGTCTCCCCGTGTCTACCTATGTGCTGCTACTCACTTCTAGTCTACCCATTCGGAGTGAACCGTTCCAGATAGAGGTCAAGCCACTCTCACTCCTCTGTCAGAATTCTCTAATGGTTTTCTATCATAGAATAGCAGTCAGAGCTCTTATAGTGGCCCACAAAGGTTCAGCACGACCTGCACCTCCTACTTCTCTGACTTCACCTCTCCTTACTCTAGCCATACAGGTCTCTTTGCTTGACCTTGAATATGTCAGGCATGCTCCCATCTAAGGGTATTCATATTTGCTCCCTCTTATGCCTGGAAACCTCTTCCTCCAGATAGCCATATGGCTAATGGCCTCAGTCCCTTCAGTCTCTGCTCAGATGCCTCCTTTTCAGTGAAGCCTCCTCTGACCACTAATTAACCACTCCTCCCCACTCCTCTCACCTTGCTTTCGTTTTCTCCGTGTTACCTGTCGCCATCTTCCGTAAGATGAAATTATTTATTTGCTCTTATGCCTAGAAACCTCTTCCTCCGGATAGCCATATGGCTAATGGCCTCAGTCCCTTCAGTCTCTGCTCAGATGCCTCCTTTTCAGTGAAGCCTCCTCTGACCACTAATTAACCACTCCTCCCCACTCCTCTCACCTTGCTCTCGTTTTCTCCGTGTTACCTGTCGCCATCTTCCGTAGGATGAAATTATTTATTTACTTGTCACCATGAAAGGATAAGCTTCATGAAGACAGGGACTTTATATATTTTGCTCACTGCTGTATTTCTTGTGCCTGATATGTAGTTGGATGCTCAGTAAACATTTATTGCAGAGTGAGGAATCACCACGTGAGAGTAGTGATTAATCATTGTGGGAAGGGCTCATGGTAGATGACATGAGCCTCAAGAAATGGCGGCCTTACTTAGAGAAATGAAGAGTAAGCAGGAAAGCCTGTGAGACAAGTAGAATTGCAGGGACAGGGACCGAAGACTTAAATAAAGGTCATGAACTCGGAGGCTGTGGAAGTATACTGAGAAAGGTACCATCTTTGGAGCCCACAGACGTAGGTTTAAATCTTGAGTTCCCCTGTACACTAGTTTTGTGGCACACCTGCTACTTCTCAAAAATCTCAGTTTCTGCATCTGTAAAATGGGATAAAGATTCAGAGTTGGTTAGTGAATTAGAATAATGCCTATGAGGCACAAAAAAGAGTGCCTGGTATATGGCTTGCAGTGGTGCTGTATGGAGAAGTAGATTCGAGTGTCATACGGATACATGTGGAAACCTTACTGAGCTTATAAAGACCAGAGTTTAAGAATCAGCTAAAGGCCTTGAGAATACCCACTGTCAGTGAGAAAAAGGGAAGACTGATCAGAGTAAGTATTTAAGGCAAAATCTTTAACATTTTAATTTTCTGTACATTTAAAAAATTGTAAGCTGCTTGAGACTAGGTAATGTATTTTCTATTTCTTCATATCAAAATATATAAAGTCCCTGTCTTCATGTAGTATAGTTCCAGGTATGGAGTAGACACTTCATAAATATTTGCTTGTTGCTGTGGCTTTTTAAAGTTTTATGCTGAAAATTTTTTTAACTACATGTGAGTAATAAGATATTAGATTGAATTATAATACACTTGAGGAGTCTTTCAGAAGGCTAACTTTAAAATATGGATTATAGTCATTATTATTGTAGGAGTAGTTTTTTAAAAGATGAACTCAATCTAGCCTTACAGCTCAGTACTGAAAATTTATAAACCCTTTAAATAAATCACCTGTGAACTACTTGTCCCATATAAATTATTAGTGTGCCATTACTTATGACTATGATACCACATAGACCTTTGTCGCATTTGGGAGCTTCTTCCCAAATGGCAGCCTTCTAAACTTACATTTTGTCCTTCATTCTGTCTAGGAGATGTCCGTGTAAGGAGTCGAGCAGGATTCGAATCAGAAAGGAGAGGTTCTCATCCATATATTGATTTTCGTATTTTTCACGGTAAGTGCTGGCAGACATAATATTTCTCTCAGACTTTGAGTAAACCTCAAATTTTCATAGAATTACATAATTTACCAAAGGAAAAAGAATATAAGAAAACTATATTATGTTTTGAATGTTTTAAAGACACTAGGTCATGATAAATATTTTATTTCTAGGTAATGTTAGTAAAATGTTTAGACACCGAAATATGAAAACTGATACAGTTTTTCTTCTTTTTAATTTAAATGTGAAATTACTTTGGTTCATTGTTTTTCTTTATAAAGTCTGTGTGTGTGACTTTTTTTACTCCAAATGTTTTTGTCTTCACTGCTCCATGCATTTTTGTGCAAATGACATTTTCTAAAGGTTTTGCATGATTAAAAAGGTGTATCTTTTGGTCTCTTTGAAAATTCATATCACCTTTAAAGACGTTTCATAGAGCGCATATTTAAATAAATAAACATTATGTGGGTCTGGCCCATAATGGAGAAAAGGGAAGAAACAGAACTTCTAAAACCCTTAAGTATTAAACACATTAAATCTCTTTTTGGAGAAGTTCCACTTTGATAAAGTTAGATAAATTGTTTGGATTGACACTCCCAATAAAAATGAATTAGGCAAAATATGAAAGACATGTATTTTTGAGTATATCAGAATGCTATTAAGGCAGAGAGACGAGTCTGGCATTTCAGGCTACTTTTCCCCTTAGTAGCATCTGGTGATTCTGGGGAAGGTGGATGAGAAGCTGAGCAGAGATTTTGATGGACACTTAAGGCCAGAAAAACAAAAACAGGTGTTTATGGGTCACCAAAGTTTGGGAATTGGTCTTGGTAAACCTTTGATGCTTAAATCGGAACCCCAATACCAATCACTGAATTAAAAATAAAAAGGCATAAGGAGACAAGATGTGACCAAAAATGAAGAGGAAACAACAGACAGTAGAAATATCCACAAGGGATCCTAAAAATGGAGTTTTTAAAGCTGAAAAATACCATTCCTTAAACTTACTGGAGTTGGTTTTAACAGTAGATAAGACCGAAATGAAGAGACAGTGAGTTGGAATATAGATCAGAAGAAAATATTGAGAATGAAACACAAGGAGGTACAAAAGGTAGGACATACAAAAAAGCCATGGGATGTGTTCCAGTTATGCATTGCTTTGTACCTGTCAAAAATCGTGAAGGGTCTGGGGTTTTACCTTGTAAGCTAACAGATAAGTTAACCTGCTATTGCTTCATGGAAGCTGGCAGAAGACACAAGAGTCCTGGGTCAGAGACAAAGGACCTTGATAGTCATGAACCAGCAAGCACCATGTATTGTGTTGGTACTTCCAGCACCCCCCATGTCCTACAGTGGCTGCACGGGTTAACTTGGAATATTCTACAAACAGTGAGCTTGCATCACATCTAAGGAACAATGAGCTTGGGGAATTTGCCCCTTTTATAGTAAGACTGTTCTTTGTCCCAGGTAAAGGTGTTACTTATCTCTCAAGGTAGCTAGCTACACACACAGCCCTGGGAAGTGGCCCAGGTAAAGATTCGTCAAGGCTTGACATTCTTGGCACATCCAGCAAGAGTGTGTGCATGGACACTCAGGGCCTCTGTGGACGGTTACCTCTCCCAGTAGTAACAAATGATCCCGGAGCTTAATTGGCATAAAACAGCAACCTTTTGTAATGATCATGATTCTTAGGGTTAGTGATTTAGTCCGCCTTAGATTTGTCTGTGCTCTACAATGTCTTGATCTTCATCTGGGGTAGTTCAAACAGCTCAGGATGGCTGGGATGGCTCCATTAGGTCCACATGCCTGAGGCCTTGGTCTTCTCTACATGTTGTCCCTTGGGGCCGGAACATCTAGGTTGGCTTCTGCACTCGTATCTGGTGCCAGGGCTAGGATTGTAGGAATTTCCGGGGCTGGCCAGGAATCCTCTCTTTCCATAAACGGTAGTCTCAAGGTAGTTGGTCTTGGCACTTGCCATACCCTAGACCAAGCATTCCAAGAGAGAAGTATGGGCACTTCTGGTCTTTGATAGTCTAGGCCTGGGCACTGGTACAATATCCCATGTTTATGTTCTGATCCTCTGTATCACACAGCTAACTCAAATTCATGCAGAGAGGACACAGACCCCACTCGTCAAAAGGAGAAAGGTTTAAAAAAGTTTTAATCTTCTATCTTTAATCTGGCATGAAATGTGTTGAAAGGTGATTAGGGTTCCAGGAGAGGAGAGGGAGAATATAGCAAAAGCAATCTTTGAAAAGATAATGACTGAGAAACCTCTAAAGCTTGATAAGAGACATTGAGATACAGAGTCAAGACGCATTATGAACCTCAAGTACAGAAACATTAAAAAAAAAACCACACCTAGATGTATCATAGAACAACTTAAAACCAAAGTCAAAGAGAAAATATTTAAAAAGTATTGAGAGAAAAAGAAAATTATTACCTTCAAAGCAGTGACTGTGAGATTGCCAGAAATGCAGTGTGCTTCATTTTCAACAGAAACCAAGATGCTGAACAACAAAGAAAGGAAGGGTCGCTTCAGAGCGATGGGGGAGAAAAATGGCTGTCAAGCTAAAATGTCACCTACAAACTCGTCTAGAGAATAAGATAAAAAAAGGACACACTTCACAACTTATGTAAAAAGGCCAGCATAATCTCGATCTAAAATATGACAAGGATATGTCAAGAACAGAGAATTACAGCCAATATCACTCATGAATATAGATGAAACATCCTAAATAACATGTTATCAAATTAAGTCTCCAGTTTATAAGAAGAATTTTATATTTTGACTCAATTTGTATTTTTCCAGCACTGTAAGGTTGGTTTAACATTCAAAAACCAATCATTGTAATTCCCTACATTTACTAAAAGAGAAAAGTCATGGATAGACCGATAACAAAAGCGTTTGATAAAATTCAATATTTATTCCTTGTTAGAATTTTGAGCAAACTAGGAATACAGAAAAACTGATTTCATCTGAAAAAGGGAAACTTGCTCAAATTTCTGCTTTCACTCAACTCTAGAGACAACCAGGAGACACCTGGGTTTAGTTTCCTCCTCCTGAGTAAGTAAGTGGGCTGGATTAGGAGCTCCAGATATTCCTACAGATATTTTTCTCTGTTCATTTGGCCGTTAACCTGGCCTTTTGAAATAATATTTTGATCTTAGATTTGATGAGATGAATTCCATATTGACTTTTTGTCAAAATTCATCCTGTTTGCTCTAAATGTATACGTCCCTGATGGGGAGTGAGCAGCCGGGGTCGGTTCTGCAGAGACTCAGGAGCAGGCGGGGACCCCGGGGCTGCACCCGGGATGCCCCCGTTGGGTCTGGGTCGGCGGCGGTGCCGATTTTAAATAGCATCTTCTCGACTCGTTTCCTCTGTCTCAGTCCTGACCATGGCGCTGCCCAGGCGCTCCCATCCTCTACCTAGGTTTCTTCCAGATGACCACCTCAGGGATTCCTTAGTAAGTGTCCGAGCCTCCCTGGGGAAGAAGGTCCGTTTTGGCCTTGCAGATGTCAGGGCCAGTGGGAGAGCAGGACGGGGGTGGGAGGGTAAAAAATAATAATAAATTTATAGGTTCCTAAATTTAACAAGTATTTCATTTACTTACACATTATTTTGAGCTTGTAACATAATAAATACTAATACCTTTAAAGGAATTATTATAATTATACTCCACGTGTATACTTAGAAAATCTGATGTGTTCTTTTGAAAGATTCTGTCATGATTATTAAATAGCAATGGAAAGTGCCAGCCTGACAGTTACTTCTTTTCATGGAATTCACGAAGCGTATTGACGTCACTTATACTGGAAGGCATTGCAGTCTCTGCCAGCGTTGGACAATACAAGGGATATAGTTCTTTACAGTTTTTTCCAGTCTACACAAATGCATTTTTTTTTTCCATTTTCTGTTAGTCTTGGCACATGATAATGTTCCATTCCAATGTAAATGTGTTTTGCTCATTATCTTGAGCTTTTTATTCATTTTAGCACTTTATTCCACCCCATGCTGGGGCAGCAAGTAAACCTTTCAGGATGTTTAAATCGTAGCCTAAAAGGTCTTAACCTAAGGTTTTAGTCTTACTCATTTATTTATTTATTTTTTTGTTCCTAGTCTCTAGGAGCCTCTGGCTCATAGTAAAGATTTAATATATATTTGTTGCATGAAATTGACCAAAACTGTATATCTTTTCTCAGTTAGATTTTACAGGATCTCATTTGTTCTCCAAGTATAATCTGTATTAACTGTTAACCAAATTCAGGCTGGTTGCTGCCTTTCTGTTAAGTGTCTCATGTTGTTTTATTATAATGTCCTACTATGAAAACATACAAAACTCTCCCTAAATTTTCCCGTAGAGCCTCATGTGTATTTGATTTTGGGTTATTTCCTGTCTTCCTAATAGGGCTGTTAGATGCTTGTTTCATGTTTAGTTATATGATCAGAAAGAACATCTGTTTATACATGTATTTTGGACTTAAAAGCTATGTCATGCTGATTTTGTCTTAGATTATCTCAGTCTTTAGTATATAGTAACTCCCACACAAGGGTAGATCCTATTACATTCAGAAACTTTTATTGCTTCTCACTTTTAGCATAAAACTTTTGGTTGGCATTTCCCTTGGCCATGATTTTTTTCTTTGTTATAGTGTTTTTCTTATTTATTTATTTTTTCATACTGTACTGTATTGGAAAGTCATTGCTTTCCTATTTACAAGAGTATTTTTTTTCAGCCATTATTTTTTACTCTGCCAAAGTGGTTATCCATCATTTGTAATTTAGTCTCTCCTTCAAACATGAGCCATGCCAGCCTCTACTTAGAGCTGTGGTCTTGTAGACTAAAGTCAGATTTTGTCTGGAGTTCCTATTTAATTTAGTTTTTTTCCCAGTCATTCATTTGTCTTGAAACTATATCTGATTATTTCGAAAACAACATTTCTGTACTAGTTGGTGGAGATACCACGGGAAGCAACAACCTCATGTCCTTTTTCCATCTTTTTCATCACAAATG